GAGAGAGATAGAGAGAGAGAGAGAGAGGGGGAGGGAGGGAGGGAGGGAGGGAGAGAAAAGGAGAAGAAGAGCGGAACGATTTTTGCATAGCAGCAGAAAAACAACAGTGTAAAACTGAAGGAATACAAAGATTTTCTAACAAAAAGGCAAACAAACAAACAATAATTACATTCGTTACTGTCCAAGACGGCTGTTCCGTGTCGAGGAGAAACGTGTTTTTCTTGGTATAGGTAGGCGGCTTACATTGTGTCCTAGTCATATTTAACCCCCCCCCCCCATTATCAATGAATAAATAATAGGCAAGGCATGAAACAAGAACAGAGTGGGGGGCTCTTGTGGCTTTGGGGTTAAGGATTTTTACTCTGATTCAATAGGTCCAGGGTTCGAATTCGGATAGCGATGGAAAGTTTTTATTCTCTAAAATATTATTCTCTTTTCACATCCTTTCCTGTTCTCTAACAATGTTCTATCGTCTGCTTTCGTCTCCACTTTCTGCCCCTCACCTTCTTTGCACCCTCCTGACTATTTCTGCAGCCTTTCCACAGCTATTCTTTTGCTCCTCCTTACTATCTTTCAGCCACACCCCTAACCCCGTGGTATGAAAGATCAACACCTAAATAGATCAGAGTAGGCTTCGGCCGCCATTCGGGGAAAATTCAGAATTTCCTACCAACTGAAAATGTTTCATGTGTCCCGCTAGTTCATATGACCGTATACAGTTGTAAACGCCGCAAAACACTTACAAAAAAAAAAGAGAATAAAGTGGTCATATTATGTCTTATTCAGATGGCAGTTAGAGCAGGTGCGTGTGACTGGATTCCATTATAATCACAATCCCAGTCTTTCCCAGTCTCAATTGTTCAAGTTCGGTGAGCAAGTTGTTCTTGCTATACCCCTGCCTTTTGCCCTTTATTTTTCCATGGAGAGCGAGATGGGTAAGGCCTTCATGTCTGCCAATACTAGAAATGGAAGGAGATAATGGTATTTATTTTGACTTTGTCCCCTGTTGACCAATAAATAAAAAGACCTCGATGGGGTTGCATAAAATTGGATGTTACGTTGTGGTTGTACTCTTTTCTCGCCAGAGTTGCTCGATAAAAAACAACCGTAATCGAAACAGAGTAAGTTATATAAATCCACCTTTTTTATGTAAGAAAAATAAAACGAAACACCATGGAGTAGCTACCAAAATGTACCACTAAATAGTTACTTTTACTTACAATTATAGTAAAATCAATAATAATACGAAGTATTGAACTAAAACAGTTTTAGCCTCCATGGTAGGCGTGAAATGTGTAATAATATAATATTCATTGACAATGTGAAACGGTAGCTACTCCATGGCGCTGCTCCGATCTAAACTAAACCCCCAATACACTGGATGAATGTTGCTGGGGCCGTTCTGTGGTTCTCCATGCTGTCTTTTTCTGTCCAGTGGTCGTGACGTGTGATATAACACACACACGTGCCGGCACCCACTGCAGGTCACTTTGAAGGTGCCCCGCCCCTCATCAAGTGCAGGAACATGTTGGGGGCCTGGTGAGGTCAGACACTGACCTTGCAACAAACTAATTGATTCTGTTGGGTGCTCCGGAAGGCCGTAAAAGACTAGGAGAGACAGGTTGGTGTGTGGGTAAAAATTATAAGCGCCCGGGGCCCGTTCATACGCTCGCACACGCACTCACACATATAAACAAACACGCACAAACAAACACAAACACACTCACACTCGTACACACAGACACACACACACACACACACACACA